TAACAGCTTTTATTTAATATTTAAGTATATTGTTATAAAATGTTATTTCGTCTGAGATATTTACAGCCTACAATTTGAAAAATAATATATTCTTTCCTGTAAAATTATATATGAGAGAAGTATTCACTTATAAGTTCTTAATAACAACCTAATGTTCATTTTATTATCAAAGTGGTCTATGCATTTAAAAATAAGCAGTCTTTTCCTTTATAATGTATTAGGTAGCAGACTGTTTGTAATTTTTGGTACTCATTAACTTTTTACCACACATAGCGCATATAGCTTTCTTATATGCACATGATTGACAATAATGAGAACCAACTTGATGTACTTTTTGTCTACATATTCTACAAGTCTCAAATGTAGCAGTATATGGATTAAATCTAGCTTTTCCTGCTGACAAAGCTTTATTCTCTCCAACTTTGCGTCCTCCACTCTCTACAGTATTTCTTGCACCGCTTTTCCAGGGATCTGGAGTTATAACTTTTCCTAATTTTTTCTCACACTTCTCGCAGACCATTTTAAACCGCAGCCCACACTTTAGTCTGAAATATAAAATAACATCGTATACTAAATTATTATAATACAGTTATAAACAGTTCTAAGTGTTGCTTTGTAAAGATCATAAAATTTTATTTAAGCGATATTTTCATAAACAAATGTTTCTCATAAATTAAATTCATGGTAAGCAACAATTAGTTCCTTTACTTTTTTCTAATATACTGTCAGTATAAACATTATGCTATTCGAATGAAAAAATATAAGTGTCAGCAAATACTTAACCTCACAAATACAGTTCTCTGTATTACAAAATAGTACAGCAATACCTCGACGTACTAAACTGAACTGAGTGATGGAGGCAAAACCACCAGAAATATGAGGGTAGGTACAGACATTGCTTTCCTCTGATTGGTTGACGCCTCACAAGTAAGCAGTGCTGCCCTCACAGTTTCAGACAAAGAGAGGAAGTGGCGAGTGAACAAGAGAGCAGGACTCAGCCACCCAAGCGAAACAAGTCACACCGACGACCAATATGACTTGTCTCACTTTTTATCATGCTTGCGATCTTACTCTATTCGCGCATCCGATTGCCTGGTGCTCCATCTGAAACACTTGGCGTGATATTCAACTTGTACTTTTCGTAGGATTCTCGACTACACAGTCCAACGTATTTGCTACAATAAGCTACATTTTAGGTAATATTTTCTAGTTTATGAATCTACAATATTTCGTTAATTCAGACATCCCAGTAATTGTCAACTATGACGGGCAGTAATCAATAATCTACGAGGAGTTTCGAAAGCAACGAATAATTTCGTAATTTTATACGATTTTTACTTTTAAAATTTTGAAATTATTTACAAAAATTCTCAAACCCAGAGTTTTATAGAGAATAAGAGTTAAGAATTATTGAAAATTGTAACAATTTATCGGCAAGAAAGATTAAAAAACTATATGAAACGATTGTGAAACGTCTTAGTAGAAATTTTGATCCGCAACCTACAACGAAATTAGGAATATAAGGAAATGGCTGTGTTGTTCATGGGTTTGGGTTACATAAAAAATTGTATTTTATTCATGCATAGACATTTTCACTTCCGTAGGCCGACTGAGGCTCGAACAAATATACTATGATCAGCAATAAAAGGATTACCGATACCTGCGGAAACTCTTTTGTCCGAGCTCTGGCACATCGGTTTACAACCTCCTGTGTGGAAAGTTCGTCATTCACTCCAGAAATGAGAATGTCGATGCCCAAATAAAATAAAATTTTCTATGTAACTCAGACCCACACAAACAACACAGCCATTTCCTTATATTCCTAATTTCGTTGTAGATTGCAAGTATGTACTCAGTGGAACATCACACCGCATATTTCAGATTGAGCGCCAGAGATATGGATGCGCGAAAAGAGTGAGACCGCAAGCATGGTAAAGTGAGACGATCTAAATTTATCATTTGTATGGACACGGACACATAGAACCCACTGGTTTCTCTCGATCATCTCCCGATCTCTTTTTAAAGGAACTGCGCGGAGCAGGATGCGCATTAAAATGGTAGGGATAAAAATGTTCAGGAAGAAGAGGTAGAAATCGCTCGCGATAAGGAGAAATTTGTGCTATAAAATACTGTGGATGTCGCTACCAGATGGCGTACTACTATCTGTTTCTAATGATGAAATTTTTAAACGAAATTAAAATATTATTCAAAAACAACATACAAACAAGAAACATATTCATAAAATTCTGTATTTTTTTCTCGATGCTATCTAAGTTAATTAAAAGAATGCATTTAGTTGACCGAAACATAAATAAAGAAATGTTTTTAAAATAGATTATGGAAAACTAACAGATTACAAGCGAGAAACTTTAACAATTTGTAGCCCTCTAGTGGTGATCAAAACATATCGCCAACCACTTCATCAATAAAAATCACATATGTATGTGCGTGTCTATGAACACGCGTACAACTTTCAGTGAAGTTAATTTTATGTTTAACATGCACACTATCTTATCTATGACATTAAACAACTTGATTTTGTAAAGTAGAGGGTATTCAGGCATAAATTTTAACGACAGTGTTTAACATTGATTTCCAACAAATTTCTCTGATTAAATGTAGATTAGAGATTATGTAAGGTATGACAGAAAAATTAATAAGAATAAATATCTATGAATTGATTTAAATTAAAAATTATTACGTTAATGTAAATAAAATGTATAAATAAAAGCGAATTATTGAAATCAAAAGACTGATTAAAATAGGAATATCATATCATCTTAGTATGATAATATTGTTATATTAATTTATTATGTAGGATTGCTTCATTAATAGTGTATAAAATAGAAATAGTAACGGGTATATAAATATAAAAAGTATAAGTACTCTCAAATTCACAGTAATTATTAAATAATTAAAATCATTTTAATATGGTCTACATATTTTACATTTTTGACAAGAATTTGATATGCATTTTATTATTTTTATATTGCCGCAATATTTTGCTTTATTATAAAACGAAAATAAAAATTAAAGTGTTCTAATGTGTACATTTTTTTATACGATGGTATTTATATTATAAATGCGGAACTGGATTAAATTTTTTATCTAATTCTAATGTTAGGC